TTATTGTGATATGTAAGTCCCCTGTTTCCTTCCTCATCTTCTCTCTGGTTGCTCAGTTCATTATTATGAGTGGTGTATTGAAATCTCCACTATTATTGTAGAGCTGTCTATTTCTCCCTCCTATTCTGTCAATTTTTGTTTCATATACTTTGATGATAAGTTAATGTTTATAATTGTTCTATCTTCTTCCTGTTTTGAAACTTTTATTTATATACGAAGTCCTTCTTTATCTCTTGTAAACTTTTTTGATTCAAAGTCTATTTTGTCTGATATTAATATAGTCATCTTTGCTCTATTTTGTTATTATTTGCTTGGAATATCTTTTTCTATCCTTTCACTTTCAACCAGTTTGTGTCACTGGATCTCAAGTGAGTCTCTTGTAGACAGCATATAGAGTCGGGTCAGATATTTTTTATCCATTCTGCCAATTTCTGCTTTTGACTGGAGAGTTTAATCCATTGACATTTAAAGTAATTACTGATAAAGAGGAACATCTGTCATTTTGTTATTTGTCTTCTCTATGCCTTATAGTTTTTTTATCCATCATTTCCTGTATTACTGTCTACTTTTGTGCCTAGTCAATTTATTTTTTGTAGTAAAATGTTTAAATTCCTTTCTCATTTCTTTTGTGGATACCATGGGGATTACATTGAACATCCTAAAATTATACATTGTATTTTGAATTTATACAGGTTTCTTCATTTGAATGGGCCATACTTTTCCTGTTTCTTTGTATGACTTCTAATTTTTTGTTGAACACTGGACATTTGAATCTAATAATGTAGCTCTGGAAAGCAGATTCTCTTTCTCAGTGATTGCTGTTTTTAGTTTCTGTTTTTGTCTTTCTGATTGTTGTAGCCTGTCTCTGTGCTGAGGTTCAGCCAAAGGTATAAATTTAAGGTCTTCTTAGGTCTTTTCTGAGCCTCTTTCTGGGCATTCACAGTCAGTTTCTAATTTTCCCCACCTATGCAGTTGTTCTGAATGTTTTAGTATTTAATGTCTGGCTCCAAAAAGGGGAAAAGAGAAAAATGAAAGGTAGGGAAAAGGAAACCAGCTCATTAAGTCTCCTGGAAGTCATTTTATGTGGAGTGTGAGGGGCTTGCAACAATGTGGGGAGGTACAACGGATCAAAGCACAGATCTCTGATATTTGGAGAATAGGATCCTTTTTGCTCACTCTGGCTCTTGCATGCTGTATGTAAGCTGCTCCAAGAACAGATGCACAGCTGCCTGCCATGTGGCTAGGGTGGGGAGTGAGTAGATGCCCTGAGCTAAGAAGGAGCTGAAACTGACTGAAATTTACCACCATTTACCATTTAATTCTTCCCCTGGAAGTTGCAAGCCTTCCATGGACTCCAGAATTCCAGGTCTATCTGATTTATCAGATAGATTCTGCTAGTACAGTTGTTGCCTGGATGGAGAGACAGATTCTTGGTGTTCTTGGTCTGTCATCTTTCCAGAATCATCTAGGCTTAGCTTTTAAGGAATTGCCAAACTGTTTTCTATGGCAAATATCTCTATTTCCCATTCCCACCATCAAAGTATAAGGGTTCCAATTTCTCCACATCCTCACCAATACTTGTTTTTGTCTTTTTTTATTACAGCCATCTTAGTGGGTGAGAAGTTGTGTCTTAATGAGGTTTTGATTTGACTTTTCCTAACAGCTAGTGAGGCTGAGCATCTTTTTATCTGTTATTGGCAATTTGTATATTACTGGAGAAGTGTCCATTCATATCCTTTGCCTACTTGAAAAGTTGGGTTATGTCTTTTATCATTTGGTTATGGGCATTCTTTATATATTCTGGATACTAGTCCCTTATCAGATATATGGTTTGAAAATATTTTCTCCAAGTTGGTAGGTTGTCTTTTCACCTTCTTGATGGTGTCCTTTGAAGCAGAAAAGTTTTTAATGTTGATCTAGTCCAGTTTATCTATTTTTTCTTTTGTTGTTTTTTTGATGCCATATCTAAGAAATCACTGCCAACTCAAAGATCATGGAGATATATGTCTATGTTTTCATTATGAGTCTTTGTTAGCTCTTGCATTTAGGCCTATGATCCATTTTGAGTTAGTTTTTGTATATGGTTTGAGGTAGTGGTATAATTTCATTCTTTTACATGTGGATATCCAATTTTCTCAGCAAAATTTATCATAAAGACTGTTCCTTCCCTATTGAATTGTCTTGGAACCCTAATAAAAAATCAGTTGATCTTAAGTGTAAGGGTTTGTTTCTGAACTGTGAATTCTATTTCATCAATCAATATGTCTCTCCTATCCCACCACCACATCATCTTAATTACTGTGGCTTTGTAGTAAGTAGTAAAATTAGGAAGTGTGAGATCTCCAAGTTTGTTCCTTTTCAAGATTGTTTTAGACATTCTAAATCCCTTGAATTTTCTTTTTTTTAACAAAATTTTAAAAAGATTTTATTTATTTATTTGACAGAGACAGAGAGCACAAGTAGGCAGAGAGGCAGGCAGAGGGAGAAGGAGAAGCAGACTCCCCACTGAGCAGAGAGCCCGATGCGGGGCTCCATCCCAGGACCCTGGGATCATGACCTGAGCTGAAGGCAGACACTTAACCAACTGAGCCACCCAGGCTCCCCAATCCCTTGAATTTTCTGATTAATTTAAAGATCAACTGTCAACTGTCAATTTCTGCAAAAAAGGCAGCTAGGGTTTTTATAGGGATTGCATTGCATGTGTAATCTGGGGAGTACTGCCACCTTAATGACATTAAATCTCCCAATCCATGAACATGGGATATTTTTCCATTCATTCAGGTCTTCAATTTCTTTCAATGATGTCGTGTAGTTTTCAGTGATAAGTCTCACACTTCTTTTGTTAAATTTAATCCTTAATATTTTTATGCTGTTGTAAGTGGAGATGTTTTTGTAATTTCAATTTTGGATTTTTCATTACTAGTACTTACAAATACAATTCACTATTGAATATTGATCTTTTATTCTACGACCTTGCTGAACTCATTTATTAGCTCTTAGCTCTAATAGTTGGTGGATTCTATATAAATACTATATATAGTCTATATATATTCATGTCATCTACAAATAGAATAATTTTACTTTTTCCATTCCAATCTGGATGCCTTTTTCTTTCTTTTTCTTGCCCAATTACCCTGGCTAGAACTTCTAGTACATTGTTGAATAGAAGTGGTAAAAGTGGGCATCCGTTGTTTTGTTCCTGATCTTAGAGGTAAAGCATCAGTTTTTCACCATTAAATATGTTAGCTGTGGGTTTTCTCCTAGATGGCCTTTATCAATTTGATGAAGTTCCCTTCAAGTTCTAGTTTGTTTAGTATTTTTATTATGAAAGGGTATTGGATATTATGCAATACTTTTCCTGCATGTATTGATAATTATGTGGGTTTTTTCTTTTACTCTATTAATATGGTGTATTACTTTGATTGATTTTTGTATGTTGAACCACTCTTGCACTCCTGGGATATATATTACTTGGTTATATATAACCATTTTTATATGGTTATATATAACCATTTTTATATGTTTTAAAGATTCAGTTTGCTTTTTTTTTTGAGGATTTTGCATCTATGTTCATAAGAGATAATGTTCTGTAGTTTTCTTGTGATGTCTCTGTCTGGTTTTGGCATCAGGGTAATACTGGGCTCATATAATGTGTTGGAAGGTATTTTCCACCCCACAATTCTGTTTTGTTTTTCTGAAGGGGGTAAAGAGTTTGGAAGAGATTGGTGTTAATTCTTCTTTAAATATTTAGTAAAATTCACTAGTGAATATCATCTGATTCTGGGCTTTTCTCTGTGGGATTTTTTTTTTTACATTACTACTTCAATGTATTTATACATATTATTATACATTACACTATTATACATATTATTATATATTACATTGTTATACATATACATTATACATATAATTGTTAGATGTCATTGGGGTTTTCTATTTCTTTTTCGTCAATTTCAGGAATTTGCATCTTTTTAGGAATTTTATATAGGCTATCTAATTTGCTTTTGTACAATTGTTCATGCCTTTCTCATTTCTGTAAGATTCAATTCTAATGGTTTCCCTTTCATTCCTGTTTTTAGTAATTTGAGACTTCATTCTTCTTGGTCAGTCTAGCTAAAGTTTTGCCAATTTTGGTGATCTTTTTGAAGACTGCATTATACTTTATTCATTTATTAATAAGTAATATCATACTTTAGAAAAATATGACCAAGAAGCATAAGATTATGAGCCTATGCTTACCTAAATCAACTACATTACTAATAATATTATTCACATTAATTGAATATGTAGGAAGACACTCCTTAAAACACATTTAGAGTAAAAGAATAAATTTAGTAAGCAGAGTTTTTGGCAATTTTAGGAAGATTGAAGAGTGCAGCACTGAGACGGATGGTATCCCTGCACACTGTCTTCCAGTCTGGGAGACAGTGAAACCTGCATCTACCACGAAGCGGCATACACACTGGCCAGGGAAGTACAGGCTGCTGTAGGAGTCCATGGAGGTCATGTGACCTGGTGGGCTGCCACTGGAGAACCTGCAGCTTGGCTGTGCCACCTCTATTGCTACCCAGCCCTTTCTGGCTGCCCACACCCAGGATCTGGGGAGGCTGGACCACCAGTCAGCTTGGTGAGCCCCTGAGGGCTCCATGGACATGGGGCTGGTAGGGGTGCGGCATGAAATGAAGGCAGATGGAGATGGATAAGGTTGGATGGTCAGGTCTTTACCAGAGGGCTGTGGGCTGGGTACCACCTTTCCTCTCATCCCTGCCTGCCTGGCGTCCTCCAACTCTGAAGGGTAGGACATGGGGGCAGGAGCGATACCAAAGACCCTGCCCTGGTGGATTAGGGGGCCTATCAGTGCCCCACACCCCACCAAGGCAGATGAGATACAAGAGGGAAATTGAGTCCCAGAGGTAGATCAAATGTGCCCAAGGGAGTTGGCCAAGTCCCCCAAGGGCTACAGCCAGTCCATCTGATGCCTCTTTCCTTATGCCCCATAGCATTTGAAAACAGCCTGGGCTCTGGCTGGCTCGGTGGGAAGAGGAGGAGTCCCCTGCAGATGCTTTATGACTTGGACCAGGTAGGTGGACAGACCCCTTCCCAGTGATCCTTCCCTCTACCTCCAGCCATGGGAAACTGAGAACCCTAGTGTAGACCTGCTGTCTTGGAACTAGAGCCCACAATAGGGCTTGAAGAGGCTTCCTCTGCAAATCAAGGCCCTGTGCAGAGAGGAGAATGCCTGTAACAAGGGCAAATCTTCGGACAAGCTGAGAGACCTGGGGTCTCCACCCACCCACCCACCTACCCATCCATCATCCACCCAACAACAGACTGAAGCCACACTGTGCCAGGCACTCTGCCATGTGTTGAGGATATAAAAGAGCAAAGGACCCTCAGGAAGTTGACAGTCTAGTGGGGAGACAGGAATTAAGTGACCCCCCCCCCAGATTTTAGTATCTGCTGCGATAGGGAAACATGCAGGGACCCCCTGCCCTCACACTGTTCTCAGGCACCCGGACCAGGAGGCTTGCCGGCCCTAGCACTCCACTTCCGCGGTGGGCCTGCTGGGACCATGCACAGCCCAAACACACACGCAGTTAGACCCCACCGAGAGCCACGGGCCCCTGGCTCACACATACACCAGCAGGCACGAGGAGAGGCACCCATTCACACAGCATGTGTAGAGCACCTACTGTATGCAGGCTGTGCTCAGGCTGCTGCTGATCCAGTGGCAAGCAGGTCAGCTGGATCCCTGACCTGGGGCGGCTGATATGCCCAGGTGAGGAAGATCTGGGGCAGCTGATATGCCCAGGTGAGGAAGATATCATTCCATCATTGCCACCTGCACTAACCTGTGGCTGATTTGCATCGAAAGGGGCAGTACAAGATGCGACAAGAGATCTACCAGGAGGGTCCTAGTTTAGATGGGGAAGAGAGATCCTCTCTGAGAAAGGGACATTGGAGCTGAGACCTGCAGAGAAGGAGTTAAGAAGCCAAGAGTAGAGGGCCAAGTGCCTGGTGGTAGACAGACAACAGAAGAGGGTGTGTGACGTGAGCCAGGAGTGGGCAGCAGCTTGGGTGGTGCCTGGCAGGTGGGGTGAGGGCAATAGGGAAACCATAGAGGGTTTTAAGCTGGGGAGAAGGATCAGACAGGTTGCGTAGGTAGCTGTTCACTGAATCCCTGAGGGCTGAGCCAAAGGGGCCTGTGGAGCTTATCTGACCCACGCCGTTGGGTTGCATGTGTGGAGGCCTTGGTTCAGAGAGGGTAACTGGCTTGCTCTGGGCCACACAGCAAGCTGAGGGCAGGGCAGGGCAGGCTCTCAGCAGGATCCTGGGTTCCACTAGTTCCACAGGCTTCTGAGGGGCAGATGGGGCTGGCTCAGCCCCCTCACAGCCTGAGGTCCCTCTGACTGTTGGGTGTCAAGGCCCTGGGAGCTTAGCACCTTGTAGCTGGAGAAATAAGAGTAATAAAAATAATCTGGCCAACAAAGGCTAACTGTGTACCAGACACTCCAATTCTGTGAACTTATTTAGTCCTCATGGCAAGCCTATAAGGTAGGGCTGTAGTTATTCCTGTTTACAGATGAGCAAACTGAGTCACAGGGAGGCCAAGGACACAGAGAAGTTTACAGAGCTCATAAGGACTAGGGCCAGGCTAAGGATCCAGGCAGCCAAGTCCAGTGAGGCTGGAAGAGATGGTTGTTAACTGTAGGATTTGTTTCTGGACCAATGGGCATAGCCCCAGCTTCTGAGTCCTAAGGGACCTGAGTTAGGAGTCCCAGCTTCCCTACTTGAGAGCTGTAGGCAACTCATTTCTATTGAGCCTCAGTTTTCTCATTTCTATGGAGATAGTATTGACTATCTTGGTATTTACGGGGCTCCAAGCAACAGAAAAGCTGACTTTAAGCCATTAGGACAGTGGGTGTTTACTTCCCAACATGCTCAGAAACCAACAGCCCTTGGTACAGCAGCAACATGTTGCCCATCATCATACTCTGAATGTTGACATATGATACATCTTGTTGCCTCGTGACTTCAAATGACTGCCAGGGCTCCGGACATCTCACAGGATGGTACCCCAAGCAGAAAGGGAGGGGCTGAGGCAAAGATTTTTTTCTTTCAGGAGCCCTCTCTTTTTGTGCTGAAGGAAAGTCTTTCCTGGGAGCCATCTAGCAGACTTCCCTGTACATCTCCTTGGCCCAAACCAAACCAAGCCAGATATTCACCCCTGGACCCATAGCTTTCATGAAGTTGTGTGAGGCTGCCATGACTGGTTCTTCCCCAAGGCTCGGCACATTGACCTACCACAATTGGGGTCTGCTGGCAAGGAGGGAGGATGACTGACAGGTGGGTGGATGGCCAACATTCCCTGCCCCAAGAAATATGTGGGGATGTCTGGAAGCTGAAAGCAGAGCTTGGCTGTGGGGCCACTGGATACAGCCTTCTCCTGGCACCCATGTGAAGCCAGGCTTCTGAGGCCAGTCCTGTGAATCTGCCTTAGAGGGAAAGGGATCTTCTCAGTGCTCTCACGCCCCTCACTGCTCTGAGATTGGCAGCCACCCCTCAGTGAGATTTTGAAAAAGTAAGATAAGCACATGATAGGGCATTCAACCCTTCAAACGAGTATATGCAGTGAAAAGTACCTCTCCTTCCCACCCTGGCCCTGGTTACCCCTGGAGGCGACCAGTTCGTTCCCTGTGTGCCCTTCCAGGCATGTTCTAGGCATGTGTGTAGTGTCCAGTGCTCTGTCATGTGCTTAGGTCACTTTTCCAGAATCATATCTACAGGTATATATGTCCTTTTTTTCTGCTTTATGTTTTGAGAAAAATTCAAACATATACAGAAGTAAAACGTACAATGAACCCCCACATTCCCATCACCCAGTTTGAACAGTGATCAACTCTGTCCTGTTTCATCCAGACCCCTCTCCCTCCATTCCTACTTGGGGTTATTTGGAAGCAAATTCCAACCTTGTTTAGTATGTGACAATTTCAATATATATCTAAAAAAGAGGCTCCCAGGGCACCTGGATGGCCCAGTCAGTTAAGTGTCCAACTGTTGATTTTGGCTCAGGTCTTGATCTCGGGTTTGTGAGATGGAGCCCCATGTTGGGCTCCAAGGTAAGCAGGGTTGTCTGCTTGGGATTCTCTCTCTCTCTCTCTCTGCCCCCCCCCCCATGCTCACTCTCTCTCTCTCTTTCTCTGAAACAAATAAATCTTTAAAAAAATAAAATATGAGAGGCTGCCTACAACCTATCCTTTCTGAAACATTTTTTTATTTCCTTCCTCACCCTTTGTAAACCCAAAATGTGACATGTTAACTCCTGTACTTTAGCTTTTATCACTTGAAGTATTTTGGATTTCTGCTTGGATTTCTGGATACTTTTAAAGGCATGAGAAGCGCAAATGAGCACCTCCCCCCCACACACATTCTTCCCCTCTCCACGCAGCAATGGCAGATACTCTTATGCAGGCACTGGACCCAGTGTCCTACCATTTCAGGTGCTGCTTTGTCCTTCCCTGAAACGGAAACACTCACAAGGCTCTTTTCGTAACTGTGATATAACTCATGCCATAAAATTCACTCTTTTACAGTGTACCCTTCAATGGTCTGTAGTGACCAAGGCTGCATGACCATCACCACTCTCTAACTACAGGACACTTTCATCACCCCCCAAATCTTATTATTGAACAAAACAGTATCTCCGTAGCCTGCAAGTGGCTGCATTTTTTCAACTCTATATGGAATTATAGCTGTTGTTCTTATACATTATCCTGATATTCAATTTGTGCCCACACTCACCACTCTGATGACATACTTATTCCATCAGGCTTACTCTGACACGGTCATATTCATCATCAGGACCTCCTTGGTCCTGAGGGCCCAACCCTGCTTGTCACATCCTTCCACCTGCCTCAGTGAGGTTAGAGTCATTTCCCCCCCAAATTCTGGTCTAGGATCTAGGTCCCAAATCACAGTGACCGGTGGCAGTGCTAGGGTTCGAATCCCCTGTTCCGTCGCCACGGCCCGGTGGGCGCAGGGCCCGTGGCGCTGACCGGCCCCCCCGCCCCACTCTCCCACCCCCGCTGTCGCCCGCAGGGCCCGCGCTCAGCCCTGGCCGAGGTGCACCGGCAGCGGCGCGACCTGCTGCGCCGAGCCTGCAGCCGCCACACACGCCGGCAGCGCCTGCTGGGGCCCGAGGACCTGCGGCACGTGCTGGTGGACGACGCGCACGGCCTGCTCTACTGCTACGTGCCCAAGGTGGCCTGCACCAACTGGAAGCGCGTCCTGCTGGCGCTGAGCGGCCGAGTCCGCAGCGACCCGCGCGCCATCCCCGCGCACGAGGCGCACGCGCCGGGCCGCCTGCCCTCGCTGGCTGACTTCAGCCCGGCCGAGATCAACCGGCGGCTGCGCGCCTACCTGGCCTTCCTCTTCGTGCGCGAGCCCTTCGAGCGCCTGGCGTCGGCCTACCGCAACAAGTTCGCGCGGCCCTACAGCGCGGCCTTCCAGCGGCGCTACGGCACGCGCATCGTGCGGCGCCTGCGGCCGCGCCCACACCCTGACGCGCTGGCCCGCGGCCACGACGTGCGCTTCGCCGAGTTCCTGGCCTACCTGCTGGACCCGCGCACGCGCCGCGAGGAGCCCTTCAACGAGCACTGGGAGCGCGCGCACGCCCTCTGCCACCCGTGCCGCCTGCGCTACGACGTGGTGGGCAAGTTCGAGACGCTGGCGGAGGACGCGGCCTTCGTGCTGGGCCTGGTGGGCGCGCCCGGCCTGCGCTTCCCTGCGCCCCCGCCCCGGGCCAAGACGGCAGCCGCCCGCGACCTGGCAGAGCGCCTCTTCCGGGACATCAGCCCCTTCTACCAGCGGCGCCTATTCGACCTCTACAGGATGGACTTCTTGCTCTTCAACTACTCTGCCCCTTCCTACCTGCGGCTGCACTAGGCGGCGAGGCCCGTCACACCCGCCGGACGGTGTGCATTTCTGGTGGCCACCCGCCCCCCGGCCCCCGCACCCTGATGCCGGTGCTGCCTGCCCGGGACTCCTCTCTGAGCACCACTGCCCCGGCGCTTCCCTGCTTGGCCAGCCTGCCCGGGCCTCCACCCCGCCCGGCTAGGTTTGGGTGCAGCTCACCTCAGGCAGCTGGACACCCGTGTGCCTGCCTGTCCCTTGATGCTTGCTTCCTCTGACTGCGCCAGCTGGCAGGCACTTCTCCAGACCGCTGGGTGGGGAAGCATTGAATTACTAGTATTTTTTAGTTTGTGAGAGGCCATTTTGGGGGGTCAACTTTGACCCCAAACCAGAGCAGAATGCTGGTTCGGTGCATTCTGTGGCCTCTCCTAGCGGCCTCTTCACCGCCCCAGCCCTGGTATTGACAGCCATGGCCTAGGAGGAAAGCCCTCCGTCATCGGGCTCAGGCTAGGGCCTTCCTTGTCAGTGGGCATGGCATGGAGCCCACCCTGAGTTGCCTTCCACTCTGCCTGTCACTGAGCCGTGCTGCCTCTCCCTGTGGCTGGCCCCACCTTTGATCTCAGTCTGGCCAGATCCTAAGTCTTCCGTGTGTGCCCACAGAGCCCAGAGTGCAATATGGTGGCAGGTTTTATAGGACCATCGTGAGCTGGGGAGCTTATGTTTTTGAAATAAATGTTTTTTACTTCTGACATTTTGGAGTTTCTCTGCTTCATTTTGCCATTTGTTCTGCTGCATGGGGCTGTCGGATCTTGGGCATCTCAACAAATCTGAGCCTCAGTTTTCCTTTGCTGCCAAATGGCGCAAGAATGCCAGGTGGTCATGAAGATCAGATGAGAGAGATGGAGAGCCCACAGGTGTGAAGGGCTATATGGGGAGTGGGGTAAGGAGTGGGTACACCATGGCAAGGGGTGCTAAATTCTGGCTGGAGGGGTAACAGTGAAAACTTGGGGGGGGGAATCTGACTTTTCATTCTGCCTAGGCTAAAGATTAAAGCTGAAACCAGCTCAGTGAAATCCTGTGCCTTGGGCTGCCTCCCACCCTTCTGTGGGTGTGTGGGTGTGTATTTGCAGTGTGTGTCAGGCCGCTTGGCAATGAGGATCCACCCTTTGGCTTTGGGAAGACAGCCAGCCGTGGTAGTCCCCTAGGAAGGGCTGAATGTCCCCTTAGTGACTGTTTGAATATAGGGTGTCCTTTCTCAGTTTCTTTGAATGATAAATCAAAATGCCAGAACTTTGGGAAGACCAGGGCAGGGTATGCCTGAAGTTTTGAGAAACAGAAATCAGAGCACAGCCGAGGAAGGGCAGCTTGGCAGGGCAGAGGCCCAAACTGTGCTGTGGTGCCCCACACCCTGTGCTGAGGGCCCGTGAGCCTGGTTATAGGGCCATGCTGGCCTGTGGGGGCCAGGCTGGCCCGGGACTGGCAGCTCAGTCACATTCATGCCTCGGCCTTTGCTGATGTTGTTCCCCTGCCTGCAATGGATGCTTTCCCCTTCCAGGCCAGTCCTAGGGCTCCTCCTCCTCAGGAGCCTCCCGAGGCCTTCTGGGACACTGTCCGTGGGCCCTGCCAGTAGGGGTCGATGACGGCCAACCCTCGTGGAGTTGGGAAGGGACTGCCACTGGGGTCCCCGTGAAGCCTCACCCCCCTGGAGAGCCATGGAAAGCCCAGGAGCCTGGACCATTACCAGGAGGCGGGGGAGGGGTTGGGCCTGTGACGCACCGGGAGGCTTGTTCCTGGCCCGTTGCCCACACACTCCCTCATACGCCTGTGCACACTGTGTCACGTGCCACCTCATGGTCAGTTGTCCCACATGCTTCGAATGGCACACACCTTTGCTCCAAGCTCCCTCAGTGCCCACACAGCCTTTGATGTGACCTGTTTGTTGAAGTTATCCCCCATCCAGATGCCCCCCTCCCCCTGCTCCAGGTTGTCACCGTTAGAAGTCGTCCTCCAGCTCTGCAGTCATAGAGCCTGCTGTCATCTCCTTCAATGCCTCCTGTCTCCTGAAGCTTGTCACATGCATGCACCCTCCCTCATGCGGGCAGGCACTCCATTGCGCACCCCCTACTGATGGCACTTGATGTCACACCCTCTGTTGTGAGTGCAAGGGCCACAGTTCAGGCCCGCGCTTGCTGGAGGGACCTCTTCCTCTCGTGTGGGCCCTGGGGAGTTCCTCCTGCTCTGGTGTCCTCTGACCTGTTTCCTCTCGGGCTGGCACCAGAACTGTCTGTCCTCACAGATCAGAGGCTGACTGCCCACCCCTCAACAGCAAGATCCCAGCTGGGTCATCAGATGGCCCAAGGAAGACAGGGTCTCACGTGAACAGCTGGACAAGACAAGAAGGTGCCGGGGGAGGGGGGCTCAACCTGGCACCCTTCAGTGATTTTTCTGTTAAAAGGCTGCCCTGGTTTCTGAAGGAATCAAACACACCAACTGAAGGTCACTTGGCATTTTAGCTTACTGGCAACTGTCTTCTACTTCGTGGTTTTCCATCTCTCAGAGCTGAGTGGTGCTGGCCAGCAGCCTCCCCAGCAAGGAAGTGACACCAGTGGATTGGGTTACAAAGACTTGTTTAAAACGTTTCAGTGTTCTTCTGTTGTTTCTGGCTTTGTCAGGAAAATGTTTCCCGGATTTTTGTAGTTATGGCGTTGGTTTGTTTTGTTTTGTTTTGTTTTTCAGTTTTCTGTTGTGGCTTTGTCATCGAGGCAGATTCCTGGGAGGCAGAGTTCTATGATTTAAAATTTTGCTGAAACAAACCCCTGGTTCTTTGTCACAACACTGCTTCATGCATTATTCAGTTTGGGGATTGCAGCCGGCTGCATCTGCTGGCCTCGGCACCTGGCTGCATGGTCTGGGGGCGGGCACCAGCTCAGCTTGTTGGGCTGCTACAGCACCCCACAAGGTCCGTGGGCCAGGTGTCAGGGGGCCGCCCTTCCCCACGGGGCTGGAGCTCTCTTCCCGGGGTGAAGGTGCCGTTGTCTGTGGCAAAGGCTCAGCAACGATGACTTGGATCAGCTGATTTCTCTTGCATAGCAGGAGGTGGTCAAAACAGCTGCTCCATGGAGCCACTGGGGCTGCAGGCCCCTTCTGTCCTGTGGCTCCTCTAACCCTAGGCTGTATGTAGCGCTTCTCCACGTGGTCCATGAGAGTGAGCCATTCCCTTCCCGGGCAGCAGAATGTTGAAGACACAGACCGTGGATTATACATTCCAGAGCCTACCATTCCTGCAACGCTCCTGCCTCAAGGGAAGCTGGGCACGATACCCACCCCCCAACCCACATCCCTGTGGCAGTAAGCACTTCCAGGTAGCATTCCCCATGGCTCCCAGCTGCTCCATCTGCAGCCCTCCTGTAGGTTCCCTCTGGCCACCAGACCTGCTTGGCCTGAGCACAGGGATGTTGGTGTGCAGGGAGTCAGTGTCCCTGAGCAGCCTTCAACCTATGTCCACTGGAAGCTGGGGGGGCGGGGCGGGTAAATACTGCAGCTTTTGCCCCTCAGGTGGGAGAATACTGAGGCGTGACCTACAGAGTTCTCCCCTGGGATTCAGCCCCAGGTGCCCAAAGTGGTGGCCAGCTCAAGAGCACACCTTTTGCTTCCTTTCCCTTCCCCACATCTCTGGGGGGCTCCCCGGAATCTCCCCCCATTGAAACTACTTGCATCCATATTTTTATCTCCAGGGGAACCCATGATTCCATTGCAGACTTGCTGCTTTTATTTCATTGGTCCCTAAATGATAGGCAATTAGATTAATTTGTGTCCTTTAGCGTTACAGTGCTGTGAATATCCCTGCATACATCGGTCTTGCTTGTGTAGGGTGTGATCATAAGGATACATTCCTAGAACACAGATCCACTTCCTGACCACATTGTTCATTGTGCCTGGTCCTCAGGAGGCTTCAAGCATCTGCTGATGTACGTTTTACTGTCACTCTGCTCAGGGCACGAGGACAGTCGGGGCCCAGGGTGGACCCACTTTAAGAGCTGGCAGCGTGCCCCGGGTTGCTGTCTGGGCCACTGTGATATGCTAACTCATCCTTCTGTTGTCAAACATTCAGGGGTTGCCCATTTCCCTGTGAGGACTTCTGCGATGCATGCTTCCTGAAGGGTTGGTTTTCTTCTTTGAGGGCGTTGTGTACACAGAAACACTCAGGACACAGCGGGACCAACAGATAACTCTTTACTCCCTAAATATTCTTTAGAATCACCTCACAGGGAAGAAATCACGGGAGACCATGCACATTTTAGAACTCACTCTGGTTGGGTGACTGGTATGAGCTTTTTCTACCTACAGGACTGGTTCTGCCCCATGTGCTCCAAGAGCCCTGCATGCCCTCCCACCTACGTCCTAAACACTTGGGGGCCATAGCAAGAGTAGCGCACAGGTGGACCCAGAGGAGCTTCTTTCTATAATCTGCTGGTGGTCACAGGCAGTGGGACCCCTCGGGGAAAACAGGGTGGTGCTGGCTGGCTTTTGGGAGCCTTCTGGCCAGTGACACCTCTCCAGGGAACAATGTGTACCAGGGACGGGGTAGCAATGCTCAGAGCAGCTGCATCCACAACAGCAAAAACTAGAAACTAAGTGTCTGTCGGAAAGAGGATGGACAAGCCATGGAGTATTATACATGCTAACGAAACGATTAAATGAGCAGTATGCATCATCAGGTGACTCGCAGCAACTTGCTGCTGAGGAAAAAAAGTTGCATGGAGCATAATACAATCCTATATCGCTAATTAAAAAAAAAAGCAAACAGTGTATTGTTTTGAGATACTAGTTTTAGGAGGATAGGAGAGAGCTGTGGTTACGGGGGTGGGGGGGGAGGTGGGGGCGGCTGGAGAAGGAGCCCCCAGGCAGATGGACACATCGGTCACTGCACCGCTACACTGCATCACAGGCACACCATGCTATATTTTGCAAATATCAAGTATGATATCGCTGTGAACATTGGAGGAATAGTCCTGAGACTTACACAGTCCAAATGGAGATCAGCCTGCCTCCGACCACAACGGGAGGGGACCCTGGGGTCTCTGCTTCCCTCTACCACCAGGCCAATGCTGCCTGGTGCACGGTACAACCAGCCTGCTTCCCACCCGGGGCCTGGATGGACAGAGGCCCAGGGTCCCCCCCCAACCCGTGGCAGTTCTCTGCACCCTTTCCCCAGGCCCCAGACACCCCAGGAGCACACAGCAGAACTGACTTCTGCCTCCTGCAGGCTGAGAACCACCATCCGGTTCCTCCCTAGGGCTTGGGGAGGGCCCCTTTTCAATTCTCACTCCACAGGAGACCTCATTCCACCTTCTTTCCAGAACAATGTGGCCACTTACCCACATTGCTCAGTGCAGCCACCTTAGTCATCTTCAGGGCCCCCACACTCTTCTCTCGTAGCGAGAGGGTTATAGTTAGTGTCCCCGATTTTATTTACCCTCCTAAGGACTCCAAGATAACCTTCTGGTCCCTCTCTCTGTAGAACAGAGCAGGGAAACCCTTACATCTTCTGCAGGCACCCTCCTACAGGGTGCTGCTATTACAAATGCCAAAGAAATTACAACAGTCCCTGATTTTTATTCCATACTACTTCTCTGAAGAATCTATAATCCACCAACAACGTGGTATTAAGTTCATGTATTAAAATTTCAGAAAATAGTAGGCCTGTCCCCAGGTTCCCCAGTTCTTCTACCCAGAGGTACTGATTGTTACCTACTACACACACACACACACGTGCACACACATGTACACACACGTACACTCTGTTTCCTAATGTATATAAGATGGGAGTATATCAGAGACACTTCTGTTGTGCTTTAAAAAAATCTGAATATGCATTGTAGATTGCTCCAGACCAGTATATAAAGAGCTAGTTCCTCATTTCAGTGGCTGCCTGGTAGTCGGGGTCTGGCCGTGGTATATCAGTGAACAGCCCCCTAGTGGTGGATATATAGGTGGTCTCCGATCCTTTGCTATGGCGCTGTAATGAATATTGTTGTCCAAATATCTTTACTTACATGAGCGAGTGCATCCTTGGGATCAATTCTGGGAAATGACATTCCTACTCTCTCTAAACTTCACACCAACCATCACTTCATTTTATAGATGAGAAAATGGACGTTCCGAAAGCAAATTGCTCAGTCCAAGCGGAAATAGGATTTGAACCTGTGAAGTTTATTCACATGGCGTGGGATCTGAGGAGATGAAGAGCCCCGTCAGGGTGGTTCCCCTCACTTGAGTTCACCTCTGTCCGGAAGGGAGTGCTCTGTGGCCACTGCCTGGAGAGCCCGGGACAGGTGGCCGCGAGGGAGGCCGCTCGGTGCCGAGCTCTAGAGGAGGCCTCTGGAGGGGTGGGCAGCGCAGGTGCCGGCGGGGGGACAGTGGGGGCGCCTGGCCCAGGGAAGCGGCGGCTCACTAGCTTGAGTTCCCAAAGTTGGCTCAGTAGAGGCGGTGGCAGCGGAGGGCTCAAGCAGGACAGTGACGTAAAATCTGGGGCCCCAAGCCTAGAAAAGCCACACAGAACCCCACGGGTCCAGAGACGTCGGCTGGGGCCACGACCAAGACTGCTCCCAGCCCAGACCTGCCCTGGGACCCCACACTGAGCCTCTGCTGCCCTCCCAAACGCCACCCCCCATGTCCACGTCAGAACCCCAACAGGGTTCCCGCGCCGTGCCTCAGACACAGCCAGGACTTGGTCCACCAGGCCTGCGCAGACACTGAATGAATGTCATCCTCCAGTCGCTGGATGGCCACCAGCAGGTGCACCAGCACTGTATGGCCACTTCCCCTGTGAGGCCACTGCTCCTCCCCTGGTCTGTCTTTTCCAACAGCTACATCAGCCTTAGAGTTGGAGGGAGATGCTGAGGCAGTTACAGTGGAGCTGGGGTCCGTGGGAGGTGGGGTGAATGCCCCTCCCCACCAACTGGTCACGGAAGCCCTGCATTATGTCACAGCTGGTGTGTGATGGCCCAGGGACAGCCTGGATCTGAGTTCCAGTTTAGGGCGAGTATGTGAAATGTTCGTGTGTGGGGTATTTCCAAGGGTGTCTGGGTGTTTCAGTGTGTGTGCCCGTGTGTGGGGGGTACATCTGTGAGTACATGGTCAGTCTAGAAGTGGCCAGCGTGAAGTCCCCCATCAGTGCCTCCACCCTCAGAGCAGGCTGCAAGGAGACCAGAAACTTGTGGGCTCTTCTTCTGTTTTGCCTCTGCTGTGTGGAAGGATGTTGGCTAAGCTGCCTCCTCAGGCCTGTTTCCCTACGTGTGGACAGGGCCCTCTTCAGGTGAGGCCAGGGCCTGCCCACCCGAGGGTCCTGTGCAGCCTCTCCCATAAACTGCTTGCTGTGGGAGGGACCATTGGACTTCAGTGTCTCCTTTCTGGGCCTCGGTTTCCTCAGCTTGGAAGTGGAGGCTGCTGGGAGAGTCACATGAGTGTCTGTGTGCAGAGCTGGGGTGTAAGGCCAGCAGCTTGAGAGTGGTTGGTGGGCTGAAGCAGCTGTCGGCATCCTGGGCCTGTGTCTTACCCTCTGACTGGAATGGATCTTGTTGGCACCAAAGTCTTCTGCAGGGGCAGCTGATCCCTCAGTGTGGTGGTCATCTTCGTGACCTCCCAGGGCTTCAGGAACTCTACAGTAGGTTCCGTCAGCCAAGAGAACCTGCAATGGGCACTTGGCATCTTTAGCGAGCCTACAGCCACCAGCCATACGAATAGCTCTCCTCATCTGGAACTTTCTACTTGCCAGGCATCATTCTAAGTGCTTTATCAACATTAACCCATATGTCAACTCACAACCATTTATAGATGAGGAAATCAAGGCACAGAGAGGTCAAGTGACTTGCCCAAGGTCACACAACTAGGAAGCCCTCCAAAGTTGCTACATTTTTTTTTTTTTTTTTGGTCAGGACCTATCAGTGCATTGATGGTGGGATCCAGGACACAGCCTGGCCACACAGAACATTTAGTAACTGCCACTGGCCGGGGCCCCAGGGCTGCCCAGTCTGGAGGTCTCTACTGATTCCCAAGTGCCCTAGGGCTTTACACACTACACCCCACCCTAGTCTGACCCCATCACACCTTTGGCAGGGGTAGGTGTTCATGAATGTGCTCCTCAGGTGGTTCCCACGAGGCCACTGACTCAGAGGGAAAGAGCCGGCTACGGCTCTGGGATGGCCCCAGGGGTCCCGGCCACCTATCTAGATGCCCTCAGCTCTGATTGGGATGGAGGCGGGAGGCAGATGAACCCCAGACTGTCACAGAGCTGCTCAGGGAACTCCCTGTGGATAAGAAACCTCATCCCAGGTCCACGCTATACGCCCCTGGAATGCGCTTTGGCATGGCCTCAGGGGAGGCAGGACTTGGCCCTAGGGGCCTCGGGGTCTAGTACCTGTATGGAAACTTCCTGAGAAATTTTTCCTGGGCCTTGTTTCTACTCTTCTTATACTGGGGGCACTTCTTGGGGTTCTTCGAGTTCATCACGGAATGAGGTTAAGCTGTGGCACACTTTTCAGCCATGGCTGGAAGACAAGAGGAGGCCCGTCAGAGTGGGGAAGGGGATGGGAGCAGCCAGGCTGGACCCGGACCAGGCACTCGGCTTCCCCTCGGGACCGCGAAGGGGACAGAGGACGGGGCCCCTGCCTGCCCCTCAGGGCTGAGTAAGGGCTGGGTCATGCTGGCCCATCACCCATGCCCGGCCTCACCACACTGTACTAGTCATACACGCTCTCACATGTGAGTGTGTGTGTCGGTGTGTCTGTGAAATTTTATGTGTACAGCTTTGTGTAACCACCACCTGGGATGGTTCTCAACTGAACAGCCCATCCCAAACTCTGGCAACCACGAATCTGTGTTCCTCTCTATACTGATGTGACTTTACAAGTGTTATACCAATGGAACCACGCAGGAGGTATCTGGCTTCTTTCTCTCAGCATAAGTCCCTCAGGAACCAGCCCGGTTGTGCGTATCAGCAGGTGGCTCTTCTTTCAGTGCTGAGTAGTATTCTATGGGATGGATGTGCCATGCTTTGTTTAATCCTCAACTGTTGCCATGCTTTGTTCAATCTACATCTGGGTAGTTCCTGGTATGGGGCTATTATGAATAAAGCTGCTATGAATATTCATGTGCAAGTTTGCGCATGAAAATAAGTCTTTGTTTCTCTGGACTATATAAGGGTGCAATTGCTGTGGCTTATGATAAGTCCATTTTTAGTTTTAAAAGGAGCCACCAGCGGAGCAAGATGGCAGAGGAGTAGGAGACCTGGATTTCATCTGGTCTCAGGAATTCAGCTGAATAGGGATCAAACCATTCTGAACACCTACGAACTCAACAGGAGATCGAAAAAGAGAGTAGCAACAATTCTCTGAAAAAAGAAACGACCACTTACTGGAAGGTAGGATGTGCGGAGAAGTGAATCCGAGGTGATATTTGGGAGGATAGACGGCAGGGGAAGGGTCCTCCGTCGGCCGCTTCTGGCAAGTGATAAAGCCGCCGAGCACAAAATCAGAACGTTTAGAAGTCGGCTCTGCTGAGGGACGTCACTCCAGTGGCTAAGCGGGGGGGTGGAACCCTTGCGTGACAGTGTGGTCTCAGGACCCTCGGGGTCACAGAAAGACCAGGGGTGCCTGAGTGCGGCAGAGCTCCCAGGTACCGGAGCGGGGAAGCCGGTTGCAGAGACGGAGCCGAGGCGCGGGCTCTCAGCTCGGGGTTGCATAAACTGTGATCGGTGACAGTCGGGCCACTGCTCCTCCAGCAGGGACCCAACAAGCGGCAGATCCGGGGAGACTCCCCTTCCTCCCCCGGGAGGAGCGGCGCGGGAGCACACCGCAGGGATCTGCTGGCTTTGGAGACTCCACACGGGGTCGGGTGCCAGAGATAGAAACGCTCGGTCACAGGCCGGGTGAGCACGGAGTGCGGCCGGAGACCAGGGAGATGGGAGTGACTGCTTTTCTCTGGGGGTGCACTGAGGAGCGGGGCCCCGAGTTCTCAGCTCCTCCAGGCGGAGATTGGTAGGCCACCATTTTCACCCTGGTCCTCCAAAGCTGTACCGAGAGCTTGCAGGAGACAAAAGCTCCTGAGAGCAAACCCGAGCAGCTTGCTTAGCCCGGACCAACAAGGGCGGGGCAATTCCGCCTCCGGCAAAGACGTTTGGGAACCACGGCAACAGGCCC